TATGCCAGTAGATACGTCAAATTACCGCAACTTACAACGCCACCTGAACCACTGAATTCATCACTTCTTTCCGAGCAAAGCCCTCTATCGAAGCATTTCTTGCAGAATATTCAACATTATAACTGATGTGTATTCCAAATTACATCATTTTTTGGTGCAAATATAATTCTGGAAAGGGATTTCAATCCAAATTTTGCAGTATTATTTTCCCAACCTGTAACCAAGAATGCGAAAATTACAAACACCCGTGCGAAGCCGGGTCGGGCAGCTAGTTATTTATACAACAAGAGCGCGAAGTTCAATTTCGCGCAATGAGACTGAAGGTATTTTGACGAGGCGAAGCGGAGTCAAAATATCAGTCAAATGCGCGAAATAACTTCGCGCTAGCGTTATATACAATATTTTTTCTACAACTGAACCGATTGTTGATTAAATTTGCTGTTTAAGTTCAACTTTGTCATGTGTGCGAAATACTTTTATTTCATACTGTCCGGTAGATGTTCGATTACACTATCATTTTGAGTCCGGTAGGTGAGTTATTACAGCATCCGAGCCGGTAAGTGTCGCTAAGCAACACTTACCGGACTGTTATTTGTATACATCAAATTTGACATCTTCACATAATTAATTAAAAACCCCAACATAAATTTGGCTGTAATTCTTTATTTCAAACATTAACATTGATTGTAATGAAACAATTTGTATTGCCCTCAACACTACGCCTGGGTTATTACTGAATGTCGAGTTAAGTAGTAATGTTTGATTCCTTCTGCTGTAAAACTTCAATGAAATTTTCGCCGCCTTGTATCAGTTGTATCATACGGGCAATCTTAACTTTTCCTTCTACCGAGCCTTCGATGTATTTTTCTGCCGTCGATGAGCTTTTCCATGCTCCATGACGCTTTTAACACCGAAACCCAGGCAAAAAAATCTCAATTCAAAAACTTACTGCGTCCAAAAAGTATGCCAACATGACTTTTTCCTCTACTTGTTTCCGCCCCATGTTCGTTCCTCAATTGGCAAAACACTTAGTACTCTTTTTCATACCTTGCGCCCGACTTCTTAGGAACCAACTTTTCGGTTGCTTCATGAGATCTCGACAGGATTGTATCGGGAACATTGGAACATCCCACAACGTTTATAACGTCAATTTTTCAGTGAAAAAAATTCAATTGTCAACAAACTACAAACTATAGCAACGGCCGTTGTCACAGAAACAAGGTAATGCGATTTTTACAATATGATGAAATTTTGTAATCTTTGAAATGAAATAATGATACAAAACAGACTTACAGTATGAAATAAAATACGTTACGATATACGTCCTGTAGTACTTGTAACAGTACTCGTTTAAGACATTCTTGACTCGGCTCCTGACGTCGCCTCGTCCATAATGTCTAACTCGTACTGTTACAAGTAACCTACCGGACTTATAACGTAAATAACTATTTTCATTGTTGACGGTTTCGCGCACGTTGTCAAGAGCAACCTTACTTATTAATTAACAGTTTAAAAATCTAGTACTTATCCGTGTTTCGAAATTCGTCAGAAAATGACAGGTTTTTTTTTGACAGTTATAGAAAAAATCAGTTTTTAGACATTTGTCAGGTATATTAAATGTTATCTCTTTAATTATTGTAAAGAAATTTGTTACAGATGTAATGTTGCTAGCAGGGACCCGGACCCAAATCAAATATCGGTTCCGGTTCTGTTTATATTTAAGCGAAAATATTTATGGTTCCGGTCCGGTTTCGGTTCTAAAAAGAAATAACGGTTCGGTTCTGCGCATTTTTTCGGTCCATAACGGTTATTTTCGGTTCTAGTTTTTCAGAAACATTCAAAAAATTCATTATAACTGAAGAAAATGTCATGAATACCAAACCGTGACGTATCGTCAGTGTAGCTAATTTATAACGACAAGGGGAATAAAGGAGAAAGAGGGAAATATGTATTTACACTTGATTTATTACTGAAAAACAAAAAAATTTTATTTTCTAAAACCTCGCCCCTCCTTTTATGTTGTTGTTAAGTAGTGGCTAAATTATCGCCACCGCCATTCATAATGCCTTCAATTTCGATACCGTATTAAATATTTATAATCCACCGATGGCAATCAATCTACAGGACGTGGTTGCCGGCGCGTCCTTCAACTTCCAATAACCTGTTAAGAACCGAAAAAAGTAATACGGGTTGCGGTTCTCAATACGTTTCCATTTCTGAAGCAATAACGGTTTCGGTTCGGTTTTGGTCCAGAAAAAAACACCGGTTTCGGTCCGGTTTTCGGTTCTTTTTCGGTGCGGTCCGGGTCCCTGGTTGCTAGGGGTCTATCAAGCCGACACTGAAACGTTGACTTACCCTATACTTACCGTTGGCAACTCTGGCAAAAAGCTACAAGCAGAACCACCAGAGACATGCAGAGGGGAGATAACGCATGAAACTGCGCGAAGTTACAAAACAAGGGGGCTGCCATTTTGACACCCATTGAAGCGCGAAATTTGAACAGGACTATAAAGGTTTACTGACGCAACCCAGAGACATCTAACGCAATCTTCATACACTACACTCTATTCGGCAGCAGCTCCGTAGGAAGAAACTAATATCTCAATCCAAATGAACAAAAGAAAATGCCAGTGACGTTGACGTTACAAAATAAACACTTAAACCTCGAAAAAAGCTTTCCTAAACACGAACACACGCTAAAATAACACCACTATAAACACAACATGACACAAAGGGTGTAAAAATGGCAGCGCCCATGATGTCGCACCCTTTCTTGGATGCGCACTCGTCGATCACCGATCTCCCCTCTGCATGTCTCTGAGAACCACCTACCTTTCAAGTCGAAACGAGGGACGTTTCGCGGCACTTTTGAATTTGGATGGCAGTCGGCTCGATATGGATGTCACGAATGAACTCCTACGTTGCGTAATCGGTTCTTATACATATTGGGACGTGAGACATAATCGGGAAGGGAATTAAATAAAAGACAGAACTTTTGTGCGTAAGAAATGACGAATAAATAAATATATTACGAACACACAATACCATGCCACGAAAACCTTCTACGGGACAAAACCCCGGCATAGGCCACACAAATACATTAAATAAATCACCTACAGCAATAAAATGCAAAGAAAATACACATAAATAAAACCTCTCAAATTGTATGATAAAAATCAGATAATCAAAATTAAATGCAATTAAACAAGTTCATAAAGTAAAATACACAAGACATCATAAATGCAGTGGAAAACATGATAAATCAATTCACTACAAAAACACATTAAAATACCTGTACGATCAATTGAGCTAACACAATTCGTAAAATAATAAATTGCATGTACATTGGAAACATGTAAATGGTGTGGTTCTACTTCAGCCTTCCGTTAACATAATTTAATTTACCACGAAAAGTACTTGTTAGAATGCCATTAGCCAATAGCAAGTATTCATGTGAAAATCGATTATCGCTCAAGCAGAACATATTTTAAATAGTGGAAATGTTACTGAGAGGGCCCCTACTCGTATTGCTAAGATGTTAAGAACTGCAATCCGCACGAAACAAGTAGGCAACAGATAAGCGAAAGGTCGAACTGTTTAGGTACGGTTTTGGTCAGAAGTAATGTCCCTCGATTATCTCAAGTGTAGCACATAATTAATATACCGGATCTCCTGTGAGATTTGAGCTTCTTTTCAACATGAGGAAAATGCCTAAGATTGAAATGAAATTGAACTAAATCACGGAGAAACTGACACATTGGTACTTTTTCTACAGTTGCAGTTTCTAAGGGAGGACATTACTTCTGACCACGACTGTACCTACTCCACGGAGACAATGGCCCGTATGAATAAAAGTAAGCAAATGCTTATACTTGCAAAATTCAAAGTAAATACTCGTAAGTGCTCCTTCGCACTGGGCGACGTAGCAGCGCTTCTAAGCAGAAGGACAGGACGCAGTGCAGCGCTGCTAAACCATGCTAAACAGACCAGTATGAAGGGGCAGTTACGAGTATTTACTTTGAATTTTGCAAGTATAAGCATTTGCTTACTTTTATTCATACGGGCCATTGACCCACTCGCACACACGCACATCGAAACATCAAATAAAAGAGCCCCCATTCGTATAGCTAACGCACAAGAACTGCAGCGCGCCACGAATCGGAAAGTAACAGATACAGCGAACAATCAAGCGGTATAAGGTACTTCCTAATATAATTCAACGTTAAACTTTAATGAAAATGATATTATTGATTACAAGATTGAGCGTTATTACATGTGACAGTTACGGTAAAAATTCTAATCTTTTTTAAACTATGAAATACGCCGCCTATTATATTTTATCTAACACTAACTTTAACTGACTTCCCTCGCGGAATAGTTACGGGTCAATCGAACAGAGCAACATCGCACTGATGATCAACTCCTCGTGAATACAGAAATATAATAAATACTTAATTAAACAAAATACTGGCATAATCACCTGTACAGTATAAATAACAAACACGATTCATTTAACGGTACTCAAAACAAAGGCAGGGAGTACGCCATGATTCAGTTATCGTAGTTTATGCAAAATCAGCAAAATGTAAATATCAAATTGTAGCAAGAAATTCAATGATTAAATGGCTAGTACAAGAAAGAATAAAATGGTTTCTATCTTTCTCATTCTCCCGGCTCCCCTTCCCCTAGCTTCGTTACGAAAATCCCCTAGTATTCGGCATCTGCGCAAAACGGTTGATTGGTTATGTACAGCGCATATATTTTTGTTTCAGATGTAAAGATGTGTTGCCTAACCCTAAGGGTGGATTATCACATAGATTAAAACATTTCATTTAAACTAAGATTGTCCTTTAATCAATTGCCCTCATTTGGTCTCAGCTCAGCGTTATCTGTCCCCAAATCGTTCAACCAGCCTGGATTTGAGAAGAGACAATTTTATAATCCTTAATCCGGACCTGCGTGGTGTTGATCGTAACTGTTGGTATAGGTAGATTAAAGATTTCTGTATACATTGAGGTTATGACAATTGTTTATTTTGTATTTCATCATTTTTATTTTGAATAATGGGAAAACCGTCAAAAGTGGTAGTATGTGGTATGAAGGGTGTTGGAAAAACGTCAATTTTACAACAAGCTATATATGGACAACTACCAAATACTTCGGTAAATATTAGTATAATTATATCTTAACCAGTTGCTTAAATGGGTTAGTACAATAATTATAGTGAATACAATATGTGGCACACAACTCGATTAATCTCATTGAATCTATAACGTATTGTAAGTAGCTAATGCTTATGTTCACCAGACGAAGCACTACCTAAAGGCGGGAATACTATACTAAGATTTCTCGCACGAGTTGGTGTCTGATACCACTTTTGACGTGTGCATACCACCAAGTCGGACGTACGATGGTATTTACACCTCGACAGTGCTATCAGACAGCAATTCGCGCGACACACCTCGCTTTACCTTACATTCACTAAAGTGGTATACTGTGTGTCCCAGAGAGAACGCACTATAAGGAAACAGAATTAACGAATTTTGTCACGAACGATCCACAAAGCCTTTGATATGTACTTTGAAGTTAGTGTTCAACGTACGTTATTGCGCTTGCATGATGCTAGAAAGAGGATGGAGTAGTACGTTGAACGCTAATTTCAAAGGCATCGTAGATCATTCATGAAAAAATATATTAGCATTTCCTTATGGTGGTCTACCTGGGACACACTGTATGAGTAATACAGGGTGATTCGATAATATTTGTATCAACTTTATGGGCACCGTCCTCATACAAAACAAGTAAACTTTGTATAAACGTGTGTCTGAAAATCCTTTACTTTAGAGTTATTAATGAAACTATGTTCAACACATTAGTTACACTCTGTCAGGTTGAAAGTGTCATCAACTTGGAAACTCATAACAAATGTTCGAAATATCCTCCTCTTCCTACACTTGCACACACTCACCAACTCATTGTTAATCTCAGCTTACCATATCTTGGACTGTCGCACACTTTGAAATACTATGTTGAATGGTTACATTATCTAAATCTGTTTAAACAAACAGGTTCAATAATAACTGTAAAATGTGTTTATAGTCCAGGAGGCAGCGACATTTTTTGTGCACTCATTTCTACATAGCTGATATTCTGTCATTTTATTGTTTTGATAGTACAAGTAAACAAAACAGTAGTCTACCGCGACGGCGGCGTTGCCTAAATTTGCAACAATGTTCTGAACATGTTAATAAATAATATGTACATGCCTCATTTCTATAAGGATGAAACTTTTTACAGTAATTAATTATACCTAAAAATGAAGAATGGTAATAGTCTACCGCCCTGGAAGCGTTGCCACCCACGCAAGATGCATAAAAAATTATTCGATTGAACTTATTTCTACAAAGATGAAATTTTTGTTGGAAAAAGTTGATGTCATAAGAAACCAAAAAAAAATAGTCTACCGATCGCGTGATGTTGCTAAGGTCTCGGTAGACATGCTGGAAGATACGATTTTCCGAGCGTACCTGCTGCACTACTCTGTTAAAAAGTATCTCTAAATTATTATATACACGGGCATAAAATAAAAATATTTGAAAAACGAACAAAGGTTTTTTGAAGATCGTTGCTCCTCATGATAATTTAGCTCTTAGCGGGTTTATAATGACACCAATCGAAAGAAGTTTTTTTTTCTTTATCTAATGATATACGAATTAGTTCATTTTCAGTTGTATTTCTCATTATTAACGATCCTCGAGATTGTTTATCATTTTGTAACGCAACGCTTCCAGGGCGGTAGACTATTACCATTCTTCATTTTTAGGTATAATTAATTACTGTAAAAAGTTTTATCCTTGTAGAAATGAGGCATGTACATATTATTTATTAACATGTTCAGAACATTGTTGCAAATTTAGGCAACACCGCCGACGCGGTAGACTGCCGTTTTGTTTACTTGTACTACAAAAGTTTTAGCTACTAATGGGCTACAGAGCCAGTTGGTTACTCCTGCAGACTCTAAATTGGTCATCTGCGTGCCCCTAAAGTTTGTAGAAGTATTATTAAACCACTCTGTATTTTCTTATTAATCCTGTGATTTTAGTTTCTGGCATAGTTTCACATTTCAGGACGTATTAAAAAACTTTTCTTCAAAGTATGTAAAATTTTTGAGCTATTTATTATCATTTAAAAATGATAAAAATGTGATACTCTTTCCAGGAATTATTTCCAACTATAGAAGACATATATGTGGCAAACATAGAAACCGATCGGGGAACTCGGGAAAAGATTCGTTTTTACGACACGGCTGGAATTGAAAAATCTCAAACCAGTACTGCAAATGGCACAACTAGTCAACAACTGCCTCGACATTACTTGGTTCTTGCTGATGGATACATATTTGTATATGATGTCGAAAATTTAGAATCTTTGGATGTGCTAATTTCACTTAAAAAGGACATTGACAAAAATAAGGACAAAAAAGAGGTAGGACTGACTTATAGGACACTGCGTCCTAGAGAGCTCTTAGCTTTACGATGGTAAATGGGATCAGATACATATGTCCCAAAGTTTTTATACACGTTTTACACGCCTCTAACATGTAAAATGTTATCCCCTATGATCACGTATATCATACAGCAGAAGGGGGGGGGTTCAATTTAAATTCAACCCCCTACGACTAAAGGTTGTTGTACAGGGGAGGTGAAAAACATTTTTAGAAAAAAGAGTGAGGTCATAATTTTTAGGGGAAAACAATTCCTCTTATGTGATCGTTTTGTCCGTCCGTCTGTTCCTTGTGTAACTCCAGCACGAAAAGAGACAGCGATATCAAACCTTCAGCAATCGATTTTTACGAGTTCAAGGATCAGTGCTGTTGAATATGAGTTGGGATTAAAAGTGTTTCTGAATGCAAACTGAATATAAAAAAATTCCCTACTAAAAATGGTATGCGATTCTTTGAAGGCGAGAAACAGACATGCGTACGGCGTCGACGATTTAAACAAACGTGTATAAATTACCACTTTTTGACATAAAATTGACAGTTCCAGGATGGCGACTGTACGTTATTTTAAATTTTTTAATAAAGAGGAGAGTCATCAGTGGCCTGTTAATCCACTTTGACAAAGCGCCATCTGGGTTCGGGTTCATAGTTGAAACTTGGAAGGTGAACTGCGCATAAAAACCTACAGGCTACTAATAAACTAATCTCCGCGACTCCGCTGAATTGGGTATGCCTGTTTGTAAAAAAAAATTTTTTCATACCAAAGAATTGAACCCGGGCCGCCTGGGTGCAAGCCGGCTATCCTTACCACTGGACCATTGTGGCACACATTCAATCATGACTGAACTGAGTTCCTATTCCTAAATAGTTGAGGGGAAGGATCAAAATATGACGTTTCTTTTCGCATGCACATATGAAAATCCTCCAACCATTGATTTTTTCATCCAAGTGCAAATCATATTCAAATATGATTCAAATTTTCCCCTACTGCCATCTAACGGTCACAGTACACGACAACTGAAGGCGTCTGTGGTTCGGAGGGTATTGGGCGGGTACGTCTGCAATATTTTTGTGGTCTGCATCTATTAATTTTAGCTGGTTTACAACGCGTCGACTTCGGCGGCTAGTATGTGCAAATATAAATAGTGTTTGCCTGTGAATAAATATTACAATTTTAAGTGGGTAGATTGGTTGTGGATTACTATAATTCTAAACTGTTTATATTGTAGTCCCACTACGAGTCAGCAATGTTATTTCATGCCACAGCATGCACTTTGTTAACCCACCGAGGGCGAATGTCCAATTTGGGTTCCTGAAGGAAGGTTCCATGTAAACTGTTTAGATCGCCTTCATATTGGACCACTTCCATAACCTAATGTTTTACTTTTCAGAGTTCACACTAAATGAACCGAGAGATTATGGCGAGAACTAGAGGATCAGCTCGAAACGCTCAACACTCTCGAGCTCTGTGACCTGTACATCGAGAAGTGGATGTGGAGAAGAAATAGGCTAGATCAATTAATCGGCCCAAGTGTGCCTATTCCAATTCGGGACGGAAAACAATGGTCGCTGTTTTAGACGAGTGTGAATGCACCTCCGTAATGGGGTTCTTGGGATCCTCCTACAATCCCCTTTTTGTACATTACAGGCAAACAGCAACACAAACCTTCACTTTTTTTTTCTCAAATAATAAATATGTAAGAAATGTTCTTTTTAAATAATTTTTTTCGCCGTCAAATCCTCTTAAGTATTTGTTTCGTATGTTTTTACCTCCTCCTCTGCCGCCGTCATACATCTATCCTTATAGTAGGGGAGCCCACGGTGCTAAATGGGGATTTACTCGAGCGTATTATGTACATTACATATAACTTATTTAAGATTAGAATATAAAAACCAGGAAAACCAATATATTCCGAAAACTATCAGATACAGGTATAGGACATTATTATCAAAAGTCGAAGGTTTTTGGAGGAGCTAAAAGATGATTTTTTAATATGAAGTTTTGTAACTTTGGATCTAGAAAAAAAATCACCCTGTAAGCTATTTTTTTAATGTTTTATAGTAGATGTATTTTTTTGACTTTTACGTTAAGTAAGGATAAAAGATATAAAACCTGGAATCAAAGTTTAAGTAACAATTTTGACAATATACTGACAAGCTTGCAAATGTCCAATTTTTCTTAAAAATCGAATTATCTTTCAAACTACTAGCATTTCTGATATTAACCATATATTAAAAAAGACGTACAATTACACGTAGAATTCAAAAATGCATTCACATACAGGGGGTTCTATTAAAAAAATGTACCATTTGGGCGTACCCTGTTAAATTCCAAATATTTTTAAAATAAGGTGAATATTCAACCATATCATAATACAAAAGCCCCATTCTTTCGAAAAATCTTATCTTCAAGGCATTAAGTTACTCCGTGCAATCGTTGCCTCACCCTGTACATACATCCCTCCACCGGTGGGGAACGCGTCTACACTTTTTTAATAATGCACAAAAAAAATAGGCAGAAAATCGGCAGATTATGTTATTTCTGTTATTCTTGAATGATTTCCTTCGAGATAAAAAAAAATCCAACGAAAATCAAGGTAACGTTTTTTTTGCAAGTTTGTGACCTTCGTACTCCCTCACGTCAGCTTGTCTCTTCTCACTTATGACTTGCTTTATGTGACCTTTTGGTATGTCACAATAAGGCTCTGGAAGAGATTACAAACTATATAGAATCTGTACTGCGGACTTGTGTGACATCCTACGACCTACATCCACGATCATCATTAGTCTGGCGAAATGTAGAAATGCTAAATAATAATATATAAAAAAATTCTGCATCACCCGGGAATCGAACCCAGGCCGGCGATTTTCTACAAATCGTATTCTTGACATTTGGCATCGTTGTTGACCATAAGAGCCTGTACTTTAAAGTTGGGGGGCAACGAATTATAGGCGATTAATACATTCCATCAATATTCGACCAATCAGCTTGGTGATTGTTTCAAATTCTAACCAATCAGATGATTTTTAGTGATTAAGAAGCTTTTTATCAGCGACAAAAATGCGTGTAGGAATGCGTAAAATATATCAAATTTTGTTGCTTCTGACTGACATAAGATAAAATCGCTCCAGCTAAAGCTGTGGCGATTTACCAAACTTTGAATCTCTAGTTTTTTTACGTTGCAACAAAACTTTCGTGTAACAATAAAATTATCCAATTAAAAATCAAGCTCTTGTGTATTTACCCCTCATTAATAATTAATTGACGTAGGTTGAAAGTCTCATCGGACTACTTCGGACAGACTCGTGTTATCCTGAAACTCGCATACGCAGGCGTCGCCCTTGACCATATTTGAGTTGCATGAGCATGACGTTTGGTGGGGGCTTAGTCCTTAACACATTTCCGCTCCCGAATGATTTTTAACAGTGCCACAAAGCAAACATTTACTGTAAATTATCATATCTGCGGTAAAAATTAATTAAAGTGGTCGTGTATTGAAGATTTTTGATACAGAAATTAATTTTCTTCTACAGTGTTCATTCCAAAAATGTGATGAATATCAACATAACTCGACTGTAAATTATTTTTCCGAGTTGATCATTGCAATTCTGGGAAAAAATGTTTCATATTTGATAAGTTAACGGGCTTGGTAGTCCTCATAATTAGAAAGTCTGCAATAAATCCGACATTGCATTCTATACATGAAACAATATGGCATTCTTATTTTTCGTAGGTAACTACTCAAATATAATTATTATCAGTCAACAAGTCTAATGCGCCCATGCAAATGTGATGCTTTTTGAAGTCACAGCATTGCATGAACATTTTTAATTGAAAATTACTATTTTTCTTTTGTTTTTCAATCATAATCTTCATTTTTTTTACACAGGTTACTGCAATCGTAATTGGCAACAAGAGTACTAATGGAAGTAATCCAGAGAGTGAGAGTACACTGAACAAGGCGATCGCTTGGTGTAGCAAAGAAAAAATTCGTCATTTCAATGGCAGTGCAAAACAACGTATCACTTTATTTGAACCGTTCACTTATTTAAGTAGTAAATTAAATCCCCCACCTAGTAAAAGTACATTTCCTCAATTGTCAATGGGTCGAAAAACATCTACGAGAGACAATTAAAAAGTATTATAAATATATTTATTTAGTCAATAAGTTAAACATAAGATACATAATAAAACTATAATAATATACACAATTAGAGAGAATTGACACGATGTTTAAGTTGTTGAAGTTGTGTTTCAATAACTGGAGGTAAGTCCATTCCTACTTGTTCCTTAAAATATTTTTCTATCGCTTCCACCTGTAAAAAATTGTGTTTAAGTCTCTCACGAGATGGATTATCATTATTAAACCTACCTCTTCCATCCAGAATTCCCTAGGTAAACTGAATAGTTGTTCAAAGTCAACTTTCTCATTTAGGTTAGTCATATTTAAGGCGTTTTCCGTTGGTATGAATCCAATGGGGGTGTCTTTTGCACAGTCTTCTTCATCAACTCTTCTTAAAATCCAGTCGAGTACTCGCGAGTTTTCTCCAAAACCGGGCCACAAGAATTTTCCATTGTTTCCTTTCCTAAACCAGTTTACGTGGAAGATCTTTGGTAGTTTGCTGGATTTCGCTTCCATGCTGAGCCAGTGTTCTAGGTATTTGCCGAAGTTGTATCCAAAGAACGGTCTCATTGCGAAAGGATCGTGCATGATGACTTTTCCTTTGTGTTCTGCTGCAGCTGTCGCCTCACTGCGCATGGCTGCACCAATAAAGACTCCATGTTCCCAGTTTTTGGCTTCGTATACTAATGGAACACCCTGTGGCCGTCTACCTCCGAACAGTATTGCTGAAATTGGGACGCCTTCGCTCGCCTCCCAGTTGGGGTCCATTATGGGACATCCGGTTGCAGGTGTGCAGAATCTGGAATGGATTTTGTGAGAAAGCTGCGCTTGGTTGAAAATGTGGGAGCTTACCGTGAGTTCGGATGAGCCGCTGGAGTTTTCGTTTCTCCCTTTATCCACGGATTGCCCAACCAATCGGTTATTGAAACTGAGTCGTCGATTTCGTTTTCGAGACCTTCCCAATATACTCCTCCGTCGCTTGTGGCGGCGACGTTTGTGAAAATTGTATCCTTGAAGATTGTCTTCATGGCGTTTGGATTACTCGAATTGGAAGTTCCCGGTGCAACACCAAAGAATCCGTTCTCTGGGTTAATTGCTCTGAGTTGTCCGTTGCTGTCGAAGCGCATCCATGCGATATCGTCACCGACACATTCAATTTTGTAACCGGGTAGAGAAGGTGTCATCATAGCAAGATTTGTCTTGCCGCAAGCCGAAGGAAAAGCTGCGGCGATGTAACGTTTCTTACCGGCAGGGTTCGTGATGCCTAAAATCTGAAAGCATACTTCATTTAGTTTCCAAGCAGTTAAATTGAAAGTGAAATCGTACCAGCATATGTTCGGCAAGCCATCCTTCTGTTCTGGCGATTGTGGAACCAATTCGTAAAGCGAAACATTTCTTTCCCAGTAAGGAGTTGCCACCGTATCCGCTACCGTAGGAGACTATGTCGTTCGTTGCTGGTCTGTGTAGAATTATTGTGCGTTGTGGATCACAAGGCCAATGAGGCATATCAATGATGCCATTGGATGGAGTACCAACGGAGTGTAAACATTTTACAAAGTTTCTATTATCCATCAGAAGATCTAATACTGGTTTTCCCATACGTGTCATTATGTTCATTGAGGCAACTACGTAAGCCGAATCCGTTACTTGAAGCCCAATTTTTGAAAGGGGTGACCCAACTGGACCCATCGAGAATGGGATTACGTACATGGTACGGCCTTTCATACAACCGGTAAATCGATCCTTAACGGCTACTTCCATGTCTCTGGGCGATAACCAATTGCCTAAGGTACCTTTAATTCCTTCCTTTGTTGTGGGAATTGTATCAGCTCTGTGTTCGGTACAAATAAACGTTTTTGATTCGACGCGGGCTGTGTCTGCGGGGTTGGTACGGGCCAGCCAGCTAGAGAAAATAGCGTAAGCATACTCTATTAAATGTTTGGGGAGTAAACTTACCAGTTCTCATATTTTGGTAATGGGGTGATGGTCCCTTGCTGTTGCAATAGTTTGAGCAGATGCGAACTTTCAGTGGCGCTTCCATCGCAGACGTGAATTTTTTCTGGTTGGCACAAATCTACATTGTCTTCTATAAAAGTGCGTACCTATAAAAAAAATCAATATTTTCAAAACGATAATAGGTAGATTGACAAAGAACTAAACAGCATAAAATTGCTCAAAATTGGTTCGTAGTGGTATGCATTTGCGTTAACAATAATAAAAGCAAAAATACGTCCTTACCTTAGGGGAGAGATCGTGCAAATTTCCGTGAACAACACTGATGCCTCGAATTTGAGTGTACAGCCCAACATTTGGTGCATTGCGTTGTTTTGTAAATCTCCCCAATTCAGCGGTACATCTGCAAAAAGAAAGTATATGTCATATATAAGGATAAAAATAAATTGAATAGTGGATACTTACACTGGAGATGATTTTTCAATAAGATCAGGCATTTTGATTTGTGTTAATCAAAAACTTCAAGTGAAACTTCTGTGATATATGGAATAATAGTCGAAAATATTTTCTGTATATGTTTGACCAATATTTGTATCTGGTCCCTGATATTTTACTATGAGTCTTGTATCTAATGCAGCCAGATTTTACGATTTTTGTTGCCTAGATACACTATAGTATAAAATACCAGTGTAAAAGTGACTGTAGCACCGCGCATTTTCTTTTTATATCCACACACAAAGAAGTGGGGGCTTGGTTTTTTCACAATTGATAAATGATTATTTTTTGCGACTTAAAAAAGCATCCGACGTTTTGAAATGGTTTGGATTGTCACGTTAGCGTAGTATCTATGTTCTGATAACAATCCCCGAGCGATCAGATTTCCAAAAGTAATTACTACACAGTTTTTAGGAGTTTCATGTTGAATTTATGAATGAGTTTCGGTTGTATGTTATTATTCGCATGTCCAATTGTCAAGTAGATAATTAGATTGGGAACTGAATTATTAAAGGGCATAGGTAGATTACATTGGAGGAAGTCACTTTTAATTTCGAGGATTTGTCAGTCAGTAAAGTGGATAGGTATTGAGTTCTGCTTTTCGGGGCGTTACGCATTATATCGCTTGGAGTGGATATTTGAATACTCGGACACTTATTATATTATTTTCAAAATAAGTCACCGTTAGAAAGTACCATATTACGTATTGCTAAATATCCCAATCCAATCCCAATCACCCATGCCCCTCTGATGTAAAAATATCTCCCATTTAAAAAGGAAAGTTACAATCAATAAAATTTCCAACCAGTGGAATCTGTAACATTCCAAGAAATTAGAAACGTAATTTCATGACATTCTGCCAGTTTGGGTAATTACGATGATACGTAGGCTCAGGGACGGAAATGTTTAACACCCTTGGAGATGTATCAAAATTTCCAGGAAAAGAAGCTCTTGGTTTCCAATTTATATACAAAACCCCTAACGATTCTCAAGAATGCTCTGGACTTAATCGGTAAATGGAAAAATATAAATTTTGGAAGTGGCTGATGCAAGATGGACTTCACGGAAGTTAATACCTACTTGTTATCTGTGTAGGTACCTACCTACCTACTAAATAAATACGAATCTCTAAATGGGAATGGTAATGTGTGACTGTTACTATTTACAACTTTTCAAGGTAATTCATGGGACCTTTATACTATTACTAGCCAAAAAATAATACTTGAAATTAGAAATAATTAAGAAGAATGATTTTTAAAGCGATTTCATCAGCTCTTGAAAATAAGATAAGATTAGTGAAAGGCAAAGGACAGGGGAGCAATCGAAATAGGGACTTTGGGCTCGGTTTTTATCCGCTTGTTAACATTGGCTGTGGCGACGGGTGTGTTGTAAAGGAGTTCGCGATTGGAGTTGAAAAGCCAGAGATAGTTGCTATGCCTTTACTACGTTATCTATTATGACACCGTCTTTTGACGTAAGCAGACTTCCTGTCTCCTAAACAATAATCTGTTGAAGTGAGTGATGAAATGACGTACCTACGCTATTTTGTTACCTTTTAAAGCAATTTAATTAATGGAATTTTGGATCAATTTTAGCAATTTTTTTTTGTTTTGTCGAGATATTTGCCTTTTTAAATAGACGCAATTTTTCATTATGAAATGTTTACTTTTTTTTGGAAAATGTTTGCTTGATTACAAACGTCTGATAAGGTAAGTACAAACATGAGCACAAAAAAATAATCTTCATGTACCTATACTATATACCTCTTGGCAAAATTATTAATTTATAGATAGATAAATTTCCCAGTTTAAATAATTTTACCTGAAACCGTTAAGAAAATCTAAATTTCAGGACTATTTTGACATTAGAAAGTTGATCTTTACCTGACTAGTACTGTAATATTTTTGCCTGACTCTCATTACAGTCCTAGTACATGCAAAATAACAATTAGATCGTTGATTGAATAAGTTATTCATTCAACGATTGGATAATTATAATGCAGACCAGACAATGTGGATTTAAAACTACACAAAGGTTTTTTAATTACTAAATCAATGGAATATGTGTGGAAGTAATTATTCCTTTAGTTTTGCGGCAGTCATTAAAAGGTTTGTACGCCTTTTCGTACTTTCTTTCTTGACTGTGGTGAGCGAATATTGCACTACGGCGGCCGAAGCTTCGGCTACATTATAACAACGTCTCGCCTAGGTTCTCTTCTTCACTGATACCATGGACTGTGTTTTTTAGTCTATGCTGATACCTGCTTTTGTAGTTTGTACCTTGTTATAAAGACTGTATAGTTGAAAAGTTCAAAGCATAAACTGCAAACTGCATTAAAAATGACACTGAATGTTTTAATTCTCTTGAAATCTCTATGGCAACAATTAAATAAAGTGATTTTAGCATGCGTGATTAGGTATCCAAATTTCACACATATGAATAATTTAATTTGGAAAAGTTATCTACATGTTGCGGTTTCAGGTAAAATTTTATACATAATATGTCATGAAAGTGAGTCCACCTGACTTGGAGGCATTAAAGAGATACTCGGACGCTTCGCGTCCTCGTACTTTTCAATAAGCCTCCGCGTCATGTAAACGACCACTTTCATGACTTATGGTCGTTTGCACCGACAAATTTAAGTAGAGCTTAGCTTAAGCGTAGCGTAATCATGCTGAACATCTGAACTTCGCCCTCTTAGGCTTCTGGCTACAATATAGTTTTTTTTTACCGTTTATACCTATTGCTTTATGTTATTTTAGAAGTCTAATAAATGGCACTTATAATAATAATAATTATTATTAAAATCTAAACACACACTAAATTGTCTATTCTCTGTATAATGTGTAGGTCTGTAGGTGAGTGGGGAATCACAGGGTTCAAACCCCTTGCCCATACATGAAAAGAGAAGGAGAAGATCAGTAGCAAATTGTCAAATCACTACATAGGGTGAGCCTACCAGTAAACGAACACTTCCCAGTGAATGAACAAAAAGCAGCATTTCTGTCGAAAATAAGGATATTTGATCGAAAAAACTACTTTTCTCTTTCTCAAACGTTAACCGCGCATGTCAACAGCAAACGTTCATTTATTGGCAACTTATGAACCTGACATAATTTTCTTAACCTACAATTTATTGAACGGTTGTGTGTGTGAAAGTGTCAAAGCGCAATCGCTGTTAAGGTAAGCGGCCAACACTTGTTAGTTAGCACTCATTTCTAAGCCAAGAATTTACTCAGTGTTGTAAGATAACCAATCTTTTTATATTTCAAATTAATTGAGTAATTGATTTTGTGCCATAAAAGGCGAATATCTTATTTACTTTCTTGTATTCTGCCATGTTCACTTACTGGGTTCAAATTCAAGTCCAGTAAATGAACAGTGTGTTCATTCACTAGGTTTATGCGCATTATGTGAAAACAATCAAAATTGACCCTTAATACAATTTAATTTTAGTGCAATGTTCCTGTGTAACCTTATTTTACTATAAGGCACAGAAAGCCAATGAATGAACACCGTTTTCATCGTTCATTTACTTGTGTTCATTCCATAGAATTACCAACACTTTCATTCACTGGACGTGTACCCTACCATAAACATTTACACAACTATTCCTAGTGGAAAATTCTATATTTCAGATGGAGAAAAAGTATTCTCGTTTTAAATATTCGGAAGACGATCTAGCAAATGCTATTGCGGAAATTGAGTCTGGGAGTATAAATTTAAACAAAGCATTCTCTAAATATTTTATTCTAAAGTCAACTCTGCACAATAAAGTGACCAATAAAGTCCCGAATGTGAGAGGAATGGGACCTATGCCAGTTTTATCAGATGCTGAAGAAGATCGAGTGGAAAAATGGGTGTTAGCAAAAGCCAAACATTTTTAAATTCTGAAAGGGAAATATGTGAGGACATACATATTACGGGAAATTTGGACATAGTAGTCAACGACTACGTAGTTGTAAAATATGGAACTAAAAGATATCCAGGTTTAGTGAAAAATGTTGTGGATGGTGAGTATGAAATTAGCGTCATGGTAAAAAAGGAAAAGGACAATTGGATATGGTCGAGCATTCCAGATCAGATATGGTATCACCCAAGCAAATTTTAGAAAAAAATTTCAGAACCGATTAAAAACACAAATGGACTTTTTTACCTTCAGATATGAATGTAATACTTTCTAATAAATGGATTACCATTAAAAAATACTGTGTTCATTTACTAGTCCTTTCATGTTCAATAATGGGGTCATCTTGTTCATTCACTGGTAACTCGTGCATTTTTAAATAAATTATAAAGTCTAACACGCATGGAGTTAAAAGATGCAGTTTTTGCTTAATTATTCCATTGTTGAACAATTGAACAACCTATTTGCAATGTTTGCGGCACCTTTCAACGGTACTTTCAAAATTTTCTCGAAATACAAAGTAGGAATTTGCGCTTTTTGTTCATTCATTGGTCAGCTTACCCTAATTAATGCCCGCGTTTTAACTCGCAAACTGCGATGTCGCATAATGTCGTTTATTTTTGTGAATAGAGGTTCTGAAACCCTAAATGCAGAAAATGGTTTGTGAAAAAGAAACGGACAAAAGCTGAACTTGGTGTGAATGTTTTATAGACTTACTATACGACAAATACTGATGTACACTCGCTAATACCAAGCAATTGTTAGGAATTTTTGCATGTAATCCCTGAACGAACATTTTCACCCTTAAAACGAATCAAAACCTACCTGAACCGGACACCAGAGACCCACAGGTGTAGCTTTGATGATCGTCCTCAGATCGTTAATTAGCAATCATAAATTAAATAACTTGCTCCACGCCGAAAAAGGTTAAACTTGATTTCACAAACTTATTTATCAATTTTTGAAAAGTACCTTTAAAATTGACTATAAGCGGAAGGGGAGGGGGGTCGTTAAACGTGAAGCCCTCCGATACCAACTGTATACCTAGCTACGTGCTTGGTCTGGTTTATTTCATGTATAGATTTTAAAAGAAAAGGGGCTCAATTAATCGCGCTTACAAACGGAGTTGTCATTGACTGCCCTACCCAATGGGGATGGGCCAGTGGAGACGATGGCATCCTAAATCCGCCGACAACCAACGACCCAGTGGCACCTGACTGTGGTTTATGCTCCGGTTCATGCACTAACAAAGTTGATTATGATATTATTTGCGATTTAGAAGAGTGGTTAGGATTTTT